TTTTTTTTTCTTATTACAAATGTAAACTGTTTATCAGGGTCTCTTAAGAGACGTTCTTTTTAAAATCACTTATGCATGAAAGAATGTAAAACAACTTGGCAATTAAAAACAAAACTGAGATATTCAGTGATACAGAAGAATCAGAAGTAGAGTAACTTTTTAAGAATGAATTCCTTTAATTTAGTGCCAAAGCACGCTAAATTTAGACCTCCACGATCTTAGATTGACTATATTTTCTTCACCAATGTGTATTATTCTTGAGAATTGATTTTCTGAAACATATTTGTAAAGCTTCCTATAACAGGAAACTGTAAAATCTAAACAAAGTAATTTATTAGGAATTTCATCTATTCTAAGAATAATATGGTTTCTTGACACGCCATTCTTTTCTTAGAGGGATAGGGAGAGAGGCAGGTTCAGGTGTCCCTACCACCAACAAACCTGTGAGATCTTACATGAACGCACCTTTATCCAGAGACCTCACAGAGACTGTATCAGGAATGCTGTTCTCTCTAAAATACGGTATCGTACTGTTTCCCGGAAACTTCTTGGAAAACCTCTTATCTCTTTCCTGGAAAACACAAAGCAAGATTCAAGCAAGGTACCTTCCTTACTCCTGGTGTTCTCCGAAAGGCCATTCCTGGGTATAATTTCTGAAAATCACATTTACTAAACTACCAACTAATTTTATTTTGTTACAGTTAGTAACTATCATTTGTAGTTAATTTCTAATATCCTTTTGAGCCAAGCCACCCAAGCACTCTACTGGTTAGGGATGGCCATTCAGTGCTTGCTGATTGGGGTCATGGCCTTCCACAACCAAGCGAAAGGTTAAGTGAATCCCCAGCAGCAAAAGTCGAGAGAATCAGGATACCCCCTACATCTGCAAAGTCTCCTTGACAACACAGTGGGCCAGCAGGACTGAAGCATAACTGGATGACAATCTTAATCCAGTGAGTTTTCAAACAGATTACTCGATGTGGTTAGCTTTTGCTGTGAATTATTGTGAACTTCCTAAGTGTCCTCCCCTACCAAGCAGGCAGGCAGAGACATGCCCAGCGGCGACTGCTCAGGTCCCACTTAGAACATTACAAAGCATGCTTTCTCCTACTGTTGTGGGGCACCCTCCCGCAAGAAAAGCACTTACATGCCACTCATGCAGAAAGGGGCAGTTTATTCACTTCAGCTGGCCCCAGCGTCCATCTCCCAAGGAGCAACCAAGGAAGAGTGGCCACGGGCCTTGGTCTTGTGGGGTTTTTAAAGGCAAAAACTGCATCCCGTTGGCACATGGGTTTGTCCAGGTGCACAAAGCAAGCTAGGGAGCTAGGTCACAGAGGCCAGGAATGAGCCGTTCGAGCAGTCAAGCATACAAGTTTTCATTGTGTATGTTTCCATGTAATAGTTCACTGTGTATGGCTCCTGTTTCTATGCAATGGTTTTTGTTCCTATGAGAAGATCAATGGTTTCTCATGCAGAAAGGGGAGGGGGGGTAGTCTGCAGGTCAGACAGGGGGCAAAATGGAGTTACTTAGGTTAAGCAAGCAATTCTACAGAAGCAGATAGTGTATGTTATGAGGGTGTAGGGAGCTCTGTTTCACTACCAACATTATATCAGGATCATCTCAATCAAGAATAAGATGGTACTTTCATTACTATGAAGGAGTGAGCTTTTTCTTCTTGTAATATAGGAGAACTTCTTGCTTCACTCAATGGAATGGTGTTTTGTGAGAGATTGTGGGAAGCAGGGTGCAGATTACTCCCTTGATTACTTTGTGTAAAAACATGAAGAATCCTGAATGTCTATATGAGTATACATTCCTCGGCAGAAGGGTCCCTAAACTGGCTTAATGAAATATGTCAATTCTTTCTAAATTTCATCTGAATAACAGTGTTATATTGGTCCCTTATAGGGAATTAGATTATGTCAAATGTTAATGAAAGGTAAATATCTAGGGGTGATGGGGGGGAAACAAGAAGATGTGAACTATACATCTGTGCTCTTGTGTTTCCTTTGAGGACCATTCAGACAGNAGGTGCACAAAGCAAGCTAGGGAGCTAGGTCACAGAGGCCAGGAATGAGCCGTTCGAGCAGTCAAGCATACAAGTTTTCATTGTGTATGTTTCCATGTAATAGTTCACTGTGTATGGCTCCTGTTTCTATGCAATGGTTTTTGTTCCTATGAGAAGATCAATGGTTTCTCATGCAGAAAGGGGAGGGGGGGTAGTCTGCAGGTCAGACAGGGGGCAAAATGGAGTTACTTAGGTTAAGCAAGCAATTCTACAGAAGCAGATAGTGTATGTTATGAGGGTGTAGGGAGCTCTGTTTCACTACCAACATTATATCAGGATCATCTCAATCAAGAATAAGATGGTACTTTCATTACTATGAAGGAGTGAGCTTTTTCTTCTTGTAATATAGGAGAACTTCTTGCTTCACTCAATGGAATGGTGTTTTGTGAGAGATTGTGGGAAGCAGGGTGCAGATTACTCCCTTGATTACTTTGTGTAAAAACATGAAGAATCCTGAATGTCTATATGAGTATACATTCCTCGGCAGAAGGGTCCCTAAACTGGCTTAATGAAATATGTCAATTCTTTCTAAATTTCATCTGAATAACAGTGTTATATTGGTCCCTTATAGGGAATTAGATTATGTCAAATGTTAATGAAAGGTAAATATCTAGGGGTGATGGGGGGGACATTCCTCGGCAGAAGGGTCCCTAAACTGGCTTAATGAAATATGTCAATTCTTTCTAAATTTAATCTGAATAACAGTGTTATATTGGTCCCTTATAGGGAATTAGATTATGTCAAATGTTAATGAAAGGTAAATATCTAGGGGTGATGGAGGGGAACAAGAAGATGTGAACTATACATCTGTGCTCTTGTGTTTCCTTTGAGGACCATTCAGACAGCCCCCTTGGTGCGGCAGTGACCCTGGCACATGAGCTGGGCCACAATTTCGGGATGAACCATGACACACTGGAGCGGGGTTGTAGCTGTAAAACGGCTGCTGAGAAAGGAGGCTGCATCATGAACCCTTCGACCGGGCAAGTATTGACGCTTCCAGCTGCTTTGAGTTGTGTGCTGCTTGCAGTTTGTACTGAGGAACAGCTGAGCAAAAGTCACCCTGGTCTTCTGGTCAGAGCACCATGGAAGCTTCCAAAAAGAAATCTCCTCCCTAGTAGCAAGAGTGGACTGTGCTACTCCGGAGAGTCATGGGCAATCAGATTGCAATGCCACATGGTGTGAGGACTGACCTCTTCCCTGAGAAGTGGTGGGGATGGCTGCTGTCCTTGTTTAGAAATCACAAATTATCCTACAATCCCAGCATGTGTTTTTGATTTGCATCTACGGCTTCAGCTCCCTGGCAGACCAAGGAGCCAGACATCTCAGAGCCTTGTTAACCTACCGGGCAGAGTTGAGGTGGATCACAGGCCCTCAGAGGGTGCTGGGTAGGAGGTATTTCTTCCCACGGGGTTGGCCCTAGGGTGTATCTGAAGCGTGTTGGTAGCTTGGGGATTTGTAGCTTCCCTGCCTCTGATACCACATCACCTTACCAGATCTTAGAGGTTTAAATGAAATAATTTTTCTGCTTCAGTAAAGTATGTTGCCCTTCTCAAACTCATAGTTCAACCAGTAAAAAGGACGATAGTTCCATTATTGGAGCTTTCATGAGGTGGAAACAGAAGCATCTTGGAGTGATTAGAGATTCAGATGTGTTCTTATACCTCTATGGGCCTATCCCAAACTAGAATTTTGTGCTAATTTAAGAAGATTCTCATTTGTAAGGGAAAACATGTACTGGATCCAGTGCTATCTTCTTTTATTATACCTTGAAAACTTGTAAACGCTTACCTTCATGGAACTTTCCAGCTCTCTGGGTTTGCAGGGACAAGAAGAGAATGCTGACTGAGCAGCCCAAGCCTGGCCTCTGTGAAGACTTGCTGGCAAGGGGACAGGCATGGAATGAAGGGGACACCTGCTAATGAGGTTTAAAAGTCCTATGAGAGGGAGGAATTATTAAGGAATGTGGTTATGCTTTTTCAAGCAATAGCCTTGTCGGCCTCCTGCCAAATGCTTCGTAGTGCATTGAGTCGCCCCTAAAACAAAGACTGGGCAGAACCACACATCTCCCCCCAGGGCTTTGTGTGAGGCCTCTTCTTGCAGCAAGTTGCTGCTGCTTCGTGTCCATCACCATCATTAGCACAAGACCTTTGGGCGGCATGTTTTGCTCATGGTTCTGTCTTAAGCATAATTCAAGGGAGTCACTGAGACTTTGTTGAGGAAGTTGCTCTCTGAGCCTGTGCTGAAAAAAAATCAAGGACATGCGACCAAATGAGAGTGTCTTAGACCAACACCAACAGGAAGTGAAATATTGCAAAGCTTCAAATACTAACGAGTGGAGCCATCCTAAAGGGAGGAAGGGGCCCCAAAAGCAATATGCTCTTATCATTAAAGGTATCCGAGAGAGTCAGAATAACTGTTTGTTGCACATTTGGGGCAAGGAGTTCCTTCTCAGAGTGTGAGGTTGGAAGGAACCTGTAGATGCCTTCTGTTTCCAGGTTGAGGTGGAAACAGAAGCAGTACGCTGTGTGTGACTTTCAGAGAGTGAGGCTGGTGGGAAATTGACATGCAACTGGGTAGCCTTCATGCTTTCTTATTCCTGATGAACTCATAGAGTGGCCGCAGGAAACACACTCTGTGCTTAATGTTCCTGATTATCAAATGGACACAAAGGCATTAGCCTATACACCTCCAGAAATGGCTCCTAGTGACTAAGAGGATCATATTGTTAATCATTATTGTTAATGTTTTTGAATTTCTGATAAAAGAAACAAATGGAAGCGAGGAAAGTCTGGATTGGGAACACTGGACTAGAGTTGGAAAGGCCTGGTAGCTCCAATTCCTACACCAATTGTTTTTAGTGATACAGGCAGATTAGTATCCCCTCTGGCCCTCCTGCTCATCAGTAAAATGAGTGAGACAGTCTTTTCCGTCCATCCGTCCATCCACTTATTTGTTCATGTGTTAAACAAATATTTTTGACCTCTGTGCTTGTTGTTGTAAAGAATGCATAAATAGGACCCTACAGCTCTAAAAATTATATAATTCTGAAGGCACAAGAGCAAGGCTTATTTTCTGGTACACTATATTGTTTTGTGTAAAGCCTTCCAAATAGAAAAGTCTTCATGGCAGTGCAGAAGGATACAAGCCAAATTACCCTGGAGATATTGGAACACCAGAGGTGGAAATGGTGTTGTTAAGAACTCAGCAAATCATTTAAAAGGCTTTTTTTTCCCTACCAGGAGTTTGCTAATAGCCTTTATTTGATTTATACCATATTAGCAATTTCTAGGTTTTCTCTTTTGCTGAGCTTGTGCTTTGTGTAAATCTTTTCTATTTGGTTCTCATTTATGATCCCACATTCCTGTCCAGAGAGTGGTGTTTTTAATTTTCTCAGATGGAAAGCAACTTCCTACGCAAGTGGGTGAATTAATCACGGAAGCCCACAGTGAGGGGACGTTAGGCGGCCAGTCTACCCTCAGTCAGCCATCACCCATTGAGGGATTGTCCAGGCTGCACCAGCAATATCTCAAAGTGGTGGTTCTCTTACCTCATAGCGTCCCC